ACGGACGGCGACAGGCACGACGCACCGGGGCACCGCCCGGGCTCGTCTTCGGCGCCTGCACGGCGCGGGGGGTCCGCGGCTCTTCGGAGGCGGCGGGCGCCGGGGACTTCCCCCTGCTTTTTCCTCCCGCGGTGGGAGAGGTCGGGCCCACGGAAGCCCCCCGACAGCCCTCACACTCCTAGGGACGACAGGGGACGAAGCAGAGGCGGCAGTAATGTCCTTGGCGCCGCAGCGGTAGATGGACGGACGGCTGCTGCCCACCCTCGCCGTGCGCCCCTCCCCTCCGAGGATGGCGCCTCCCAGCCTGCCACCTCCCGCCCAGATCCGGGGGCGGCGGGGTAGGCGCCTCTGGCCGGCTGGCGACGACCTCCACACCCCGGGAGAGGCGGGTCCGAGGGTGCGTGCTCGGGAAAGGTGACAACAGCTGCACGTGCTGGCCGGCCGCGCCCTGGCGAGCAGAGTCCCGCACTTCTGCACAGACCGATCTCCATCCGCACAGAGCGGCTCTCGGCCGTGCGCTGCCTTCAAACGGCCCGAGAGTGCGCCACGTGCGCCTCACCAACCCAGGAAGAAAGCCCCAGCGTCCCCCAAACTCCAGGCGGGCCGCAGCCACTCACTCCGCTCTTTGTGCAAACACTTTTTATTTGGGGGACTTGGGGTACAAGGGCGGAGAGAGCGGCCACTCGCTCCTGCACAGGTCCCGCGGCTCTGCGAGGGAGCGGCCCTGAAGCCAAAGGATCCAGCTCTTCCCGCCCGGGCGGGGTGGTGGCCGGCCGGGGATTGGTTGCGGAGAAGCGGCACCGCCCCGCGCCCGTGCGGGTCTCCGAGGAGGCGGAGCGCGCAGGGGAGAAGGCGCGAAGGCCCAGCGTCTGGCTGCAGTGTGGTCGCGGAGGGCCAGGAGAGGTACGGCTTGTTGGTTCCCTGGTCCCAGGCTGCCGGGCGACAGGTCGCGGGGTCGGGGTGTGGGGAGGCAGCTGTGGAAATTGCACGCCCCATTTCCACTTCGGCGGTGAAAGGGCGACCACTAGGGCTTGTCGCTTGCTTGCGCCAGATGCGTCTACAGAATTTTTTGGTGGGGCTGGTGAGGAGGGCTTTGTGCAGAAATGTGGTGCTCTTTACGGTACAAGACGCCTCTGCCATCCCCCTTCACTTCAGAAGCAGTTTTTTTTAATGCCTTAGTTTTTTTTTTTTTAAAAAGTAAGCGTGCTGCCTGGGCACGCGGAAGATTGTAAATCCGCATATACAAGCTATGAGAACTGAATGATCCCGGCCACCCATCCGCTCCATTTGTGTGGGTGGTGGTTGGTGAAGTGGGATGGGGCAAGAAATGCATGTCACACCAGCCATTCTTGAAAATGCGTCTCGACTTTAAAAAAAGAAAGAAAAATCTTTATTGAAATATAATTAACCTGTTTTACATGTACAGTAGTTTTTCTGTGGTTTTCCGTATATTTACCGAGCTGACCAACCACCAGCACAATCTAATTTTAGAACATTTACGTCACTTCAAAAAGAAGCCTCGTGGGCATTAGCAGTCCCTGGTCGTGTCCCCAGCCCTAGGCAGCCGCTAATCTACTTTCCATTTCTGCAGATTTGTCTGTTCTAGACTTTGTATATATGTGGAATCATGCAGTATGTGGTCTTTCGTGTCTGAGCTCTTTCTCTTAGCCTCTTGTTTTTGAGATTCATCCAGGTTGTAGCATGTATTATTAGTGCTTCCTTCCTTTTTTGTGGCTGAATAGTATTCCATTGTATGGCTGTAGGGAGCTCTGGTCGTGCAGTGAGTGGTTAAGCGCTGGGCTGCTAACTGAAAGATTGGTGGTTGGGGAGGAAGGACTGGCAGTCTGCTTCTGTAAAGATTTACAGCCTTGGAAATGCTGTGGGGGCAGTTCTGCTCTGTCTTGTAGGGTCTCTCTGAGTTGGAATCCACTCGACCATGGCGGGCAAGGTGGGGAGTTAACAAGTACGGATATATCACATTCATTCATCAGTTGATTTCCGCTTTTTGGTTATTATGAACAATGCTGCTGTGAACATTCGTGTACAAGTCTTTGTGTGGACACACGTTTTTATTTCTCTTGAGTAGACATGCAGCCATGAAATTGCTGGGTCTCATGATAACTCCATGATTAATGTTTGTGAGAAACTGCCAGACTTTCCCCAAGAGGTTGTACCATTTTACATTTCTACCAGTAACGGGAATCCTCAGCACTTGTTAAGGTCTGTCTTTTTGATTCCAGCCATCCCTAGTGGGTGTGAAGTGTTGACATTGTGGTTTTGAGTTGCATTTCTCTGATGAAGTTGGGCATCTTTTCATGTGCAAGTTGGCCATTTGTATATCTTTGGGGAAATGTCTATTCAGATCCTTTTCCCGTTTTAAAAATTGGTTGGTCTTCTTGTTATTGATTTGTAAGAGTTCTTTATATATTGTAGACATCTTTTTTAAGCATAAATAAGATATTTCTCTAGACCACAAGATAGAGTGGGCGGCCCAAGACTTTGGAGTCAATAAGGTCTAGAATTAAAAAGCAAAACCAAACAAAAAAACCCAGGCTTTTCCATTAATGAGCATAGATACTAAGTGATCTTGGACAGATTACCAGATTATTGCCTTTGAGCCTTCAGGAGATCACCTGTAAAATGGGATAATAACGCCTTTTAGGAGCCCTGGTGGCGCAGTGGTTAAGAGCTACTGGAAGCTACAGCTGCTAACCAAAAGGTCTGCAGTTCAAATCCACCAGGCGCTCCTTGGAAACTCTATGGGGCAGTTCTGCTCTGTCCTATAGGGTTGCTAAGAGTCGGAATTGACTTGACGGCAACAGTTTTTTTTTAATTTGCAGTGAGGATTAAATGACACAATGGGTATTAGCTGCTTAGGATGCACCTGGCAAAAGGTAGGCCCTTAAAGACGTATGTAATCTTCCATAAATTGGAAAATTTATGCAGAGCTTTGCTCCAGAAGCCCATAGACTTCCAGGGATAACCATGAAATTGGCACTAACACCCCGTGGCTCTGATTCTGCCCATAAACCTGTTTTTATTCATCCATACCTAAGTCTTTTAACCATCTTAACCACTTTGCTATTTAGATTTAATGGAGCTAAAGCTATTTCTTCCTCCCACAGCTGAGAACAATTTAGAGGAGTTACTGTCTTATTTAAAAATTTAACATTTTAATTTGTTTCTCCTAAAGTAAAGGAAAAAAAAAAAAAACCGTTGAAAACGACTTTGACAGTCTTCTTATCTGTAGGGAAAAGACCAAGACTTCGGAGTCACGGGCCCGAGTTACCTCAGTGTCTTTTGTAATCTTAGGCAAATCATCTGATGTTCTGAGCTTTGGTTTTCCCATCTGTAAAATGGGATGACAGTACCCCATAGTTTAGTAACAATGTGTCAGTGAAAGCCATACAAATAAACATAATGGCTACCATTTCCTGAACTCTTAATATGTGGCAAGTGCTTTGAGTTCAGTGTCTTCACCCTTGTGATCTATACCATAGGTGTTTTGATGCTCCCTTTACAGACAAAACTTGCCCAAGGTCTCTGGGTTGGACTCAGAGCTCTGTCTGCCTCCTCCAAGGGCCCTGTTCTATGCACAGGCCGGCCACTGTGCAGAGGTAAGTGTGTTTTTCTTTTGTGTAGTAAAATATATATAACAACATATTTGCCATTCTGACTGTTTTTAAGTGTGTAATTCAGTGACATTCATGACATTTCCAGTGTTGTACAACTGTCACCACTGTGTTTCCAGAACTTTCTCATCACCCCAAATAGAAACCTGTACCCAATGAACAGTAATTCCCGTTCTCCTGTACCCCCAGCCCCTGTAACCTCTCATCTACTGCTGTCTCTATGCATTTGCCTATTCTAGATATTTCATGTTAGTGGGTTTATATAGTATTTGTTGTTTTGTGGCTGCCTTCTTTCTCTTAGCATGTTTTCGAGGGTCATCGTTTCCCTTTATGGCTGAATAATCTTCCATTGTGTGTGTTTACCACAGTGGGTTTATCTAGTCATCTGTTGATGGAGGGGGGTGTGGTTTTAAAGTTGCTCGTTGTCATGGTTTGAATTATGTCCCCCAAAAATGTGTGTATCAATTTGCCTGGGCCATGATTCCCAGAATTGTATGGTTGGCCTCCATTTTGTGATTGTGATTTTATGTGAAAGAGGATTCGGGTGGAATTGTAACATCACCTTTACCCAGGTCACATCCCTGATCCAATGTAAAGGGAGTTCCCCTGGGGTGTGGCCTGCACCACCTTTTGTCTCTCAAGAGATAAAAAGAAAGGGAAGCAAGCAGAGAGTCAGGGACTTCATACCATCAAGAAAGCAGTGCCGGGAGCAGAGCGTGTCCTTTGGACCGGGGTCCCTGCGCAGAGAAGCTCCTAGTCTGGGGGAACACTGATGAGAAGGCCAAGAGAAAGCCTTCCGCTGGAGCTGACGCCCTGAATTTGGACTTTTACCCTACTTTACTGTAAGGAAATCAACTTCTCTTTGTTAAAACAGTCCACTTGTGGTATTTCTGTTATAGCAGCACTGGATGACTAAGACACTCGTGATTCCTGTATTAGTTTTCTGTTTGCTGCCGTAACAAATGACTACGGACCTAGTGGCTTCAACAACACAAATGTATTAGCTTACGACTCTGTAGGTCAGAAGCGCAACACAGGTCTCGCTGGGCTGAAATCACGGTGCAGCAGGGCTGTGTTCTTTTCTGGAGGTTCCAGGGTAGAAAGTTTCCTTGCCTCTTTCAGCTTCTAGAGGCCGCCCGCATTCCTTGGCTTAGTCCAGTTCCGTCTTCAAAGCCAGCAGCAGCGGGTCAAGTCCTTCTCACATCACCTCCCTCTAATCTTGCTTCTTCTATTGTCACCTCTCTTTTTCTGACCTCTCTCCTGCCTCTTTTCTATTTCGAAGAACCGCTATGATTATATTGGGCCCACCCAGACAATCCAGGATAATCTCCCTATTTTAAGGTCAGCGGATTCCAAAAGACAAAAACCAAAACCCGTTGCCATCGAGTTGATTCTGACTCATAGCGACCCTATAGTTCAGAGTAGAACTGCCTCATAGAGTTTTCAAGGCTATAAATCTTTATGGGAGCTGACTGCCACGTCTTTCTCCCACTGAGTGGCTGGTAAGTTCGAACTGCCTTTCGGTTAGCAGCCCAGCTCTTTAACCACTGCACTACCAGGGCTCCTTGTCAGCTGATTAGCAGCCTTAGTTGTCCCTTACCATGTGTGTTAGGTACCTAGTGCCGCTATAGCAGAAATACCACAAGTGGATGGCTTTAACAAACAGAATTTTATTTTCTCACAGTTGAGGAGGCTAGAAGTCCAAATTCAGTGTGCCACCTCCAGGGGAAGTCTTACTGTCTCTGTTGGCTCTGGGGGAAGGTCCTTATCATCAATCTTCCCTGGTCGAGGAGCTTCTCAGCGCAGGGACCTTGGGTCCAAAGGACACGCTATTCTCCTTGCTCTTGTTTCTTGGTGGTATGAGGTCCCCCTGTCTCTCTGCTCGCTTCTCTTTTATATCTCAAAACAGATTGACTTAAAACACAACCTGATCTTGTAGATTGAGTCCTGCCTCATTAACCTAACTGGGGACCATGGCCTAGTCAAGTTGACACATATTTTTGAGGGACACAATTCAATCTATAACAATCCACCCTTTAGCCTGCCAAAATTCATGTCATCGCCACGTGTAAAACACTTGCACCTCATCATATCACAGCAAAAGTCTTAATTCAGCTCCAAGTCCAAAACCCAAAAATTCCTCATCTGTGAAATCTAGAGTATAAATTATCTGCTTCCAAAGTACAACGGTGGAACAGGCGCAAGTAGACATTTCCATTACAAGTGGGAGAAATCAGAGGGAAAGAAGGCATAACAGGCACCAAGCAAGGC